CAGTACTGTATGTGTATGTAGAAGCCATCCTTATTAAATAGAGCTTACTCCTAAAATAAGTTTGCGTAAGTATGCAAGTCCTATATCTTATTTTAAGTAAAACCAACTTCATTTTGAAATAAAAAGAATTTTATGAAAGAATGTGGAATTATTACAAGAGAGGCACAAGTCAAGCAGTCAAGGGCAAATCTGGCTATTGCTAGTGCTGTAAATTGGCTGACAAAGTTTTGCTGTTTAATTGTGTACAATGAAATTTAGTCCACAGTCCAACTTTGGGTAATACTTCATTCTTTGCCAAATATCACATAAACAGCTTAGAACCAACAGCCAAAATATTATAGCAAGTAGCTGAGTGGAATACCTGACATCTTGTATCCTCCAAAGGGAAGCTCCACGGGACTGACATTATAGTTGTTGATGAAGCACATTCCAGCCTGGAGACCAGCCGCTACTCTGTGGGCGCGCTGGATATCTCTGTAAAGCAGAATGATGGTTTAAATTCACTTTCTTTTCCCTAGTCCAAATGCCCTTGTTATTTCTTAGCTCTTTCCTGTGGGACACTGCTAGGGACATCTGCCACTTCAGAAAGTAAGGATAACATTCAATTTCTATCAAATGGAAGCAACTAGGCAGCAAACAGTTCTTTGCCACGTTCTGAGTTGATTTTCTGCTTCCAAACTCATAGTTTTCATAAATGCCTTACTCCTGCATATGCAGCTCCACTTGCCATCTCCCACCTCCCCCTCCTGAAATGTATTTCCTTTCTTGATGGTACCTGGTGAAGACACCTCCTGCCAGGCCAAAACGGGTGTTGTTGGCTCTCTCTAGGACCTCTTCTTCTGTGTCAAAGGGCAAAATAGACATGACTGGTCCAAAAATCTCCTCTTTTACACATGTCATGCTGTCCTTACAGTTTCCTGGAAGCAACACAGGAGTGAGCATACAATATTAAGAAACCAGCCAATCTGAATGTGTAAGAAATGAGAAAGGAAGAGGCCCCTCCAACTACTAAGAACTAAGTAGAATTTCAGAACTACTTTTTAAAAGCTTCCTTTGTAAAGTCTGAGATAAACCATTAAATCAAATTAAATTATATTAAAGGCCAGAGCACATCCTTAAATACTTGATTTCAAGTCCCACTTTAGAGAATTTCAGCCTTAAGCCTTAGATCATGTAGTCTATTTTTAATGTCGAGAGCATACTGGACAGTATCTTCCTCAATGAAATTGGCTTAACAAATCTCAGATCAATCTATAAGGCAATTTCTTCAACTATAACTGGTATTGCCTCCTGTTCTACATCTATATAAACACAAGCACCATGTATCATCTTGTCTTCACCCCTCATCCCCTTAATCTAGTATAATCAAGGTCTTAACTATGGTTAAAGAGTAACGCCAATGATATTAATAATATAGTGCCCATACCTAAGACACAAGGAGACATATAAAAGCCATTTTTCAAATTGGGTTCATTTGGCACAAATGCATCCCCTCCACACAGCACTTCTGCACCCTAAAGAGTATAACAGAAGATAATGGCAGATAACCACAAGAATGCAATTTACATATAATCAGCAAAACTCTACCAACCCATGCAGGAAGGATACCAAAGCTTGAATGGATATAGAACACTGGACTGGACAGAAGGCACTTTCTCTTGGTGCAATATCAATATTGGCAATAGAGGTTAATCTTCTTCTATCACATAATGCTCTATAAGTGTTGAAACCAAATAGATTGGTTTGACATTGCTCCATTTTGAAATGTTAACAAAATTGGAAGAAGCATGTCACTGACATGTTCCATTTCCTCTTTTTTAAGCTACCTCAAAAATCTTTATGATCAGGAGATTGCCTTCTCTAATAATCTAAACCAGTGTTTCTCAATTTTAGCAGCTTTAAGATGGGTGGACTCCAATTCCCACAATTTCCCAGCCAGCATGCTGTTTTGTACAGTGCCCACCTAAGTCATTGTTAGCGCTTCCCCACAAATGTACTTTAAAAAGCAGTATGTATACTAGAGAGTTAGAAATAAACAAGGAACAAAGTATGTTTTTAGTTTCTGATTAAACTAACTGTGTCTTCATGGGATTCTTTTGCAAACTATAGAATTACTCTTAAGGAGTATGTGAGCATCATAAAACCCTGCAATTCTTAACTTAGCTCAGTGTAATGTCAGTACAGTGCAAGACAGCACAGCCAAGACAGAAATCCTTAAGTATAGATAAACAACTTCTTTATGTAATATCCTGATTGAATCATCCTTTTCTACATTATCCCATGGAAGAAACAAATTGTAGGAGATTGTTTTTTAATCAGAATTTGATATTACTGCATCCATAACCAGCAGACTATAAGCATTGGCACCAGTGAATTCAAGAATTTGCTCATTACCTCTCAGCTGTGTATTACATTACATGTGAAATATGCACTCCCTTTTAACACCAATGTTTTTTCTACTCACTTTTCATTCCAGTTTATGCAGTAAAGTGTCTGGCAAGGGGTGGTTATTACTAACAGTAGGGTATACCCTCTTGTTAGCTAGGACCCATATAACTTCATTTTGGCTTGCTCTTGTTTTCCCTATTGGCTACTGAGTAGAGAGTGAACAGCACATGGACTCTGACGGGAAACAATGGCTGATAAGTAAATTGCACTGCTTACACATATGCATAATCTAAGAAAGGGAAATGGCAATATAAATTGGGCTCTATATGAATATGGGATGGGAATGAACATTAAAATGAAAACAGGTTTTCTGGCATATTTATTAGAACAGAACTATGATCCCCTAGCTCACAAGTGGCTAGCCTGAGGCCATTTGTATCTCCATGAGCACCCAATGAATGAAGACAAACCCGCTAGGGTGTTTTCAAAAAACAAAACTAATAAACCGGACCCCTTCCCTATTGAGTTTAGGTACACACACATTCACATACTGTACCTATTTATTTTATTTATTTACCTATCAATACTATAGGTAATACAGTTGAGGCATTTATTTATTTTGCAATACTAATAGGTAATAGAGAGAGTTGAGGCATACTTTGCCCCTTAAAATCATCTAAAACCAAAAACATTTCCGCTGCTCACTCAGGTGATACCATGACTTTACCAGCCATATCTGTTGCAGCCCTTATAGTCAAAACATATTAACTTGTATATATTTATTTAACATTAATGACTGAATTTGTTGATAGTAGTCAATGGGAAGTATAACTCAGATGCACCACCTGATCATAAAAAAATTCTCTATGGTAAACACTGCTCAAATCTGAATTCTTCCACGGTAAGGACTAAAGACAATAGTATAAAATCTGCCATTTAAGCATGCCAAATTCTATGCCAGATGTGGTTTGTGTTTGTTGTTGTATATAATCCAGTTGTATATAATCCAGTTATAACTTGTTAAGCAGATGTGATTAAACAGATGTGCCCAGGTAAAATAGCTTTCCACTGGACAGTCATAAACAGTGCAGACACAGAAAAGCACCTTTTTTGTTCTATCTTGAATGCTCAGTCTTGCACACAATATATGATATGATGCCTGTATGATGTTCTAGCACCTTGTGTGGCAGAAGAGTGAACTGTTTTCAGTAGCCCAATCCCTCATAATAAAGTTCAATATTCTCACCTGCTCCTTGGCTTGTTTAACAAAACTCAAGACCTTCTCCAGGTGTGCCTTGTTGACAAGTGCTCCCATCCTTGTGTCTTGCAGCAGGGGGTCGCCAATTTTGATGTTCTGGGTCTGTTTCACAACTTCTTTGGTGAAGGCCTGCAGGATCGCCCGTTGTACAAACACCCGAGTACCATTGCAACAAACCTGAGGCACAGGGACAGGCTTAACAAAGAGTCTGTTTCCAGATTTGACAGCCTCATTGATTTAATATCTCCTTGGAATACCAATCAGTAGCAAATATCAAATAGTCAGCTTTATACACACAGCCTGGGAGGACTGAATAGATGAACAATCTCTCTTTTTGGACAAGAATCCAACTTTACAAAATAATACCAGTTCTGAAAAACACTGAACAACTTGGATCGTAGAACACAGCAAGAGTTTGAGCATTCCTCCTCACCCAGGATGAAATAAGGAAAAATGTTTGTGGAAGGGTAAGGCACAGTTTTCTTAGAGATTCTGATGCCATCACATGGGGAAAATACTAATAGCAACCAAGCTAACAGAGCAATATGAGGCAAGGTAGGTATTGTGTGAGATGGGCAGTTATATAAATACGATAAATAAATAAATAAATAAATAAATATTCTTGGTGTAGGAGGCTGAAAACTGAAACTGTCTCTAGGTATAAAAATATAACCAAAAGCTAAATTATTGAGAATTACTTAAGTTTAATGCTACCTTAAACTAAGCCCACATTTCAAGATTTTCATATAACATCATCACGAGATTCCATGCATAATTATGGACTCCAGGTTCAAAACTAGGATGAATACTGCATGAAAAGCCATCCTCTTACAAATATGAATCCAAGTCTAATATATGCAGTGGTACCTCTACTTACGAACTTAATCCGTTCTGTGACTCTGATCGCAAGTCGAGTTGG